GATAGATAGATAGATAGATAGATAGATAGATAGATAGATAGATAGATGATAGATGTTTAAGAATTCTCTCTAAAAACAGGATGAAGTATAGTCTAAAATCCTCAAAGATCACAAGAAAATGGTAGAGCTTTTGTGGGTTTTAATAACTTGTCCTAACATTTGGAGGTGAACTGTTTTAGATATCCTGCAGACAGTTGTTCCTTTCTAGAAAGAATTACCTGCCTGTGTTCAGCATTCTGGATCTCTGCTCTAACTGTCCCTCTGTGACTTTGTTCTGTGACAGCGGCTTGCGGCGGGAATCTGACGGGCCCGGCGGGAGTGATTTTGTCCCCTAACTACCCACAGCCATACCCTCCCGGGAAGGAGTGTGACTGGAGAATTAAGGTGAACCCGGACTTTGTCATTGCCTTGATATTCAAAAGGTGCGTCTGGTGCAGACTACCTCTCTTTAGTAGGACTTTAATGCCATGTCCGACTTTCTGTGGGGTGAGCCAGCAGCTCAATATCTAGCAGGGACCCCGACAGAGGCAGGGTTGCAGGAGCAGAGCTACTTTTCCTTGACGGCAGTGCTCTGCATGTAAGACATGCATGGGTTTCTTTCACATGCTGCTTGCATTCTGTACATCAATGCTTCACTTGCAGAATATTCAGGCCATAGAAAATCATGCTGTGGGGACACTTGAGGGAATGCCTCCCCGATGTCCCCCACTTGTTGCAGTCTGGGAAGCCCGATTTCTTTCCATGGCACACTCTGTCTGACAGTACTCAGGCAGTGCTGTTACCATTGTTAAAACTGTTGAGATGAAGCGGACATAAAAACAGAAGATTCCCCAGACTTTGCCTGCTCTCTTTAAGGTTTGATTTCTAGACATCGGTGTCTAAGAAACAGACACTCACTCCTGCCCCACTAGATGATAAAAGTTCAGAACCATAACAATTTACTAACGTCAACTCCATTGTGGTTATGGCTTAAATATAGACTGTCCTCTCCCTACCCGGTCTGAACGCTTGATCACCAGCTGATGGTGCTGTTGGAATCTTTTATATACAGGGCCTTATTCATTGACATCTAGTCATATAGGTGGGGCTTGGTGGTTACAGGAGAGCCCTGTTTCCAGCTAGGCTGGCCCTAGGCCACCAAAATATCAACAAGCCAGGCCATAACCTCTGGCCTCCATGGATGGATTCATAGTCAGCCATGCAAAATATCAATAAGCCAGACCATAACCTCTGGCCTCCATGGATGGATCCATAGGCAGCCATGCTTTCTCTACCATTATAAACTATAGTCACTGAACAATGAGCCAAAATAAATCATTTTTTTCTTTGGATTGCTTCTGTCAGGCAATTGTTCATAGTGAGGAAAAATGGCTTATACGATAACGTATTATCACATTATACCATATATGCTATGTGGTTATTAAATTTTAGTGCCCATTGAGATCTTATCCAATAATATGCTTTGATTGTTTAAAAAAATAAATGAAGGATGTGTTCTGGAAGATAAATGGCTAAGTAGTCTTGCTAGCTAACCTCTCAACTCATCAGGACAAAGAGACTAGAAATTATTTCTCTGCCAGGGGACAGACTTCCTTGCCTCAGATTTTTTGAGCCTACACTCAGTCCCCAGGCATGTTCCCCTCTCTCACCGTCCCTGATTCACTTTAACTTATGGGTCTGAGGCTCTGTATGTCAGTCCGTTAACGGTACTTTCTCCTGAAGGTACTTCTACTGATGGCCAAAAGAACAAACACTTTCAGGACACGCGGTGAGCTCACAGAATGGGTGAGCCTGCTCTGGCAGACACAGCGGTGTGATCGTTCACCATAGTGTTTGGTAGGCCTCCCTTTAAATCTGCATGGCCATCTGATTCCTGGAGCTAAAGAGGGAAGTGGCTATCAGATGCAAGCAGAGCCCCGTTACTGAGTCTCACATCACCCCTGTGGCAGTAACCAGTTCCCAAAGCTATCAAGGAAGAGTTCACTTGATAATAAATAAGAGCATTTGTCAAAGGAAGGTTCCTTGCAGTGTTTTGCACACGTCTCCAAAAGATAGACAACACAGATAATCCCCAAGTATCCTCCAACTCTTTGGTTCTCTGAACCATTTGCTTATTTCCTGTCTGTTTTGACCCATATTCTGGTAGCTTCTCTGAGCTGGAAAGTCTGTGCGCTAAGATGAGAATCATCCTGTGTCTGTCATCCCAGAATCCATGTGGCATGAGGGAAGTAGGTAGAATCCTGTGTAGGGAAAGGATGCTCCAACAGGAGGAATCTATGATGCTCTTCTGAGGTCTCCGTATACGGACAGCAACCCCAGTCTTCAGAGGACCGTTAGAGTCTTGCAACACACAGGACTCTCTCAGAAGATTGAGTTCTGATGTGCACTTGTTGTGAAGATGAGAGTCTAACAGAGAAATTGGAGGAGAGCATTCTAGAACCACAGCGAGTGTGTGCTGGTGTTGGTGATGGGGGAACAATGGTTGTCATTGTCCGTCTGGACTGTATAGTCATGTTCATTCACAGGAACTCAAACCCACTGCACAGACTGGATTAGATCTGGGAAGTTACTAAGGTTTATAGGTTTATTCTGATATGTTAAGTATAAATAAGCTCTATTATTACAAAGGGAACTGAAATTAATTGTAAATTAAACATCAAGGTTCTATGCCAAAACTATTGTATACTTAAAAAATGTTCAGCACAGAGTGTGTTTTTACTTTCTTTCGTGTGTCTGATTGTATTTCTGTGTTCAATTGGTAATTATGGTCATAATCAGCCTTGCTAGACAGTGGAGATGGCACAGGACCAGGTTCTAGAATTATCCATGAAAATGACCATGACTAAAATTATTCTTCCAATAAAATCCCACATGGCTTTGTGATTCTGCCAACTCCCTGAGCCTTGGAAGCTCTGCTCTTTCTCCACCATGTCTAATGCCAGCAAACTCACAAATAAGATTTAGGTTTCCAAATTATGAACTTGCAAATAGATTTTTTTAAGATAGTAGTGATGTCATTGTGCCTCTCAGTAACAGATGATTCAAATCTTAATATGGAGTGGATGTTGATATTAAATAAGAAAATAAAGAGGGAGAGAGAAGCACGGAAATTGGGAAGGAAGAAGAGACTGAAGGAATAAGAGAGAGATTGGTTGGAATATTCAATGTGGTACATGATAAGAAATGTTTGTGTTCTGCTCCTGCAGGAACCATAAACATTGGCTCATTTACCGAAGGAAACAAAGATAATTATAGTTTTCAGTGGAAACATAGACCAGTGAGAGGTTTTTGATTTTTAACTTTTATAATACGTAGCACTGCAAAGTTCACACATTTTAAATCTCAAAATATTCACCTAGTAATCAAGATTCAGTGGAAATCTATCTCTTTTGAGTCTGGTCTCTTCCAAGTTACCCTTCTTTAGCAAGTTCATGGGGACAGTGAAGGGGTGCTACACCAATATGACTATATTTTTTTTGGCTCCATTCAAAATTGTCTACTATTGGGTATGTTAGCTATTATGCAAAACACTGATAGTGCTTATTACAAATGATACTTCTAATTTAGCATGGTGATTGGTTTATGTTTAATTTTGATAATAGTGATAATCAAAATTGTTATGTAAAAGAAAACTAATCTGTGATGTGTCCCAAAACATTTGCTTGGAGACATGGGGTGGGCTTGTACTGGGGATGCAGGTAACACTGTCCTTCCTTGTAGTTTTAACATGGAACCGAGCTATGACTTCCTGCATATCTACGAAGGGGAGGACTCCAACAGCCCTCTGATTGGAAGCTTCCAGGGCTCTCAAGCGCCAGAGAGGATTGAGAGCAGTGGTAACAGCCTCTTCCTGGCATTCAGGAGCGATGCTTCGGTTGGCCTGTCAGGGTTTGCCATTGAATTTAAAGGTATGTGCTGAGATGGAAGTGTGGGAAATTTAAGTCTTGTCAGGGGCTACTTCTGCTATCAGTTACCTCTTTACGAGATTTTGTGTCTCAAACGCATGTGTTTCTAACCTGCATATGTAGATGTGGTACGTGTGTGTGTGTGTGTGTATGTGTGTGTGTGGTCTTTTTGAAGAAGAGAGCCTCCCCTGTCATGTTTTTAGAAACTTATTCTATCTCTGATGGAAAAGGAGACAAAAATAGCAGAGAAAATGTTTTTCCAGGTGCATTGTCCCCAGAGGATAGATTATGGCATGTGCAATAACTAGTTTGATGACATTTAAAGATTGTTTTGATATGTGTTAGCATTTTCTGATTTCTCTCCTTAGATTTACATTCACTGAGATTGCTCTGCCTCAGTCTTTCCCCCTGGGACACTACCCATCACCACCTGGGTCTTCCTCACCCATGGGCGCATACTTGACGAGACGCTCTGACCCAAGCAGATATTCATGTCTCTGAAACCCAGATCCACAGCCCACAGGTGATTTGTGATCTATCAAATCCAAGGCAAACAGAAAAAGCTGCGCACAACACCACTGTAACCCAAGCACTTTGATGTAGAGTCAATGAAAACAAATTTTGCAACATGAATTCCTTTGTGACTGAAGGAAGAGTGAGATTAAGACACAGCAATAATTAGACACAACTATTAGCCCGATACCATCAATCATAATGAGGATTCAGGTAAAAATAAGAAACAAAATCTGGAGTGAAAATTATCAAGTGAAATGAAGGGACCTTCTATCTCAGTCACAATTTTAATGGATTTGTAGCACTTTATAAGGCTCTAACTTAAAATAAAATGTTTAAGCTCTCAAAATCCACAAACATGGGGTCTTTATTAAAATGCATGTAAAAATTATACAGTTGAGCCTATGCCTTTGGGGTAGAAATAGCTGTGCTTGGGGGTGATGAGAATGACCCTTATGCGTGTGCACCTCGTCAGATGGCACACATATTCAGAAGACTCTGGATGACCCTCACCAAGCCTGCTCCTAGTCCACCATAGCTACAGCCCAAGCAGCCACTCAAGCCAGAGTCCTCTAAAAGCACAGAATATACAGTTCCAGTAGCCAGAAGTGAAGACGGCCTCTTCATTGGGTCCACTGTTTTCAGTCAGCCTTTAATTGAGTATTTGTAGTTCCTAATGTTTGGAACATTTTCTGGAAGAGTCAGTGGGAAAGACTCACCAGGAGCTTACCCAACCAGTGTCACCACACTGTCAAGGGCAAACGGTCTCAGGATGGGTGCAACAGACTGCAGGGACCGTTGCTAGATGGGCCAGGAGGGGTCCCAGGGCAGCCACCCCAGAGGCCCTACATGTCCCACTCATTTGTTCTACAAAGCAGGAATTTACAAAGGTCTCCCTAAGTGGAATGGACAGGAACAACAGGAAAATACACACCGGTATGAAGTCATCTAATTAGAAAGCATAGCCAAATGTAAGCAGAAAGGGGACTGTGATTTATCACTGAGCACTCAGAACTGACAATCGGTAAATAGAGCCACAAGATTCGATGCAATTGTTTGAAGGCAAACCAGCCACCCAACTCTCAATCAGTGGCGTGAAATAGAGAGCTGTGTAAGCCATGTCTTACCAAGCAACACACAGGTCTGAACGAGATTTATAGCAAAAGAGAATCAGAAAGAAGGCAAGGCTGTGGGTCTACACTGATTGACACAACAGGAAAGGTTTCCCTTTTGTATGAGGCAAGGTTGATGCTTACAAACAAGCTGTGCTTACCCGTATCCTGAATGACTGCAGAACCAATGAAATGGGGCAACTTTGGTGTGCATGAGCAAACAAGGAATAAAAAATAGGAAGGTTTTTTCGTTCTTTATTTGCTTAAATGTTTAGTGATCTACATAGGATTCAGGGCTGCTATAAAGACTTATAAGAATGTCAACTACCATTTGGAATATCCAAATATGTTTTCAATAAGGTAATTAGAGACACTTGTCTGTTGACAGGGGTTTCCGCCCTGCCCGGTCCTACATTAGTCCCAAATAAACACACAGAGGTCTACATTAAATATAAACTGATTGGCCACATGACGCAGTACCTTATTTAGCGAGGCAGACACATCTTGCTTCCTCTGCGTCTGGGTCACGACTGGAGACTGAGCTTCCCTCTTCCCAGAATTCATCTTTTCTCATTGCGCTGCCTCTATTTTCTGCCTGGCTACTGGCCAATCAACATTTTATTAAAAATAGTACAAGGGAGAGGATAAATGACCGTTGTCTCACAGCACTTGTCTTTGACTGTCAACTGTTTGTTGAGGGACCAGAGATAGCAGGGAAAGGATATCAGATAAATCATTGTGGTTGACCAAAATATATAAACATGAATTGCTTTTATAAATTTAATAAATTATCTCACAGTCTATGGTACGTTCAGCTATAACATATTACATAGATTGGAAGAATGTCTATCAGGGAATCTCCCCTTGTTGGTGTTGATCCACAGAGTGTTATAAATCTAACTGAAAATATTGAAAACTAATGGATAAACAGTGAGACAAGCCTCTTGTACTTCCCATAGTACTCCCTAAAATGCAATATTTGTTTGATATCTTTCTTTTCCACTAACTACATGCCCTGGGTATATTTCTAAACCTACTCCACCCCTTTCTCTCTCTTGCACACCTGATGTTCTCCCTATCACTCTTCCTCCTGAGAGTAATGCACACAATTGCTCAGTTGGGTGATGAATGACACGCTGACCATGATCAGGAAGAAACAAAAAGTAACATCATCAACCTTGATCCCAGACCAAAAGTACCAACAATGGAATTCAGTACTGCACCTGTATATCCCAATGCTCCTTACATGTACAGTTGACATTCGTTTTTTTGCAATAGATAAAATAATTGGCATTTGTGAACTTTTCATGGAGGGAGAGTTTTTAAACCAAAAGAAAAAGAGGTTGTCTATGCTATGAAGTTATCTCAGAGCCTGAACCAATCCTAAAAACCTCATTATACCCCATCCCTCTGACGCCACCAAAGAGATGGCCATAACATGGAGCTGGATACTGTCCTCCACCTTCTATAACACCCACTGGGAAGTCTGTAAAGTTCTGCTCCACAGACCTCACCCATACTAGGCCCTCTTATGGAGATGAAGAATAAAGATATGCTCACTAAATAAAGCATGACTAAAACTAGAATTTCACAGAACACATAGTTATAGACAGATATTCATTCATTTATTGATGTTTTGAGTGACCTGTTGATGTAGAAGGTGAAAAATACCACATAGCAACACACTCTGAGCGTCCAGACAGAACGTACAAGACATCAGTGCTGGGCCTTGTGGTCCATGACTACAGGGTTAGTGTTCACACATGTGTCCTTGTGAGTGCCCTGTCTGGATCTGAACCCCAAATTGTCAGCTCTTCATTGCAGAAGGACAGTAACAACTGACATGGGGCTCAGCTCAGGCTGGCATGTGGCACACCCTCAGTGAGTCTCAGCAGTTTCTGCAATTAAGATGAAATTACGGGGCAACTGTCACATACCAGATGTCATCCCTGATGGCTGTCACTTAGATGTCATTTTCCTGCTAGGCCTGGCAGTCTTCAGTGTACGTTATCAGCCCCAGGAACCGCAATCCAGAGCGCTTTGTAAGTTCCTGACTTGAGTCTGTCTGCATTGCCACGAGAAGGAGCACTTGACTTTCGGAGTCTCTGCAGTTTTTCCTTTCGTAAAACCAAATCATCAGTCCTCGAGAGTGTGCGACAAGTCAGGTGGGGGTGGGTCAGGGACAAGTTGGAAAATGAGCCTGAAATCTTCCTCAGTCGGTTTTAAAATGCACACCATTAGGCCCTCAGCAGCTGGTAAGCTGCACATCTCACAAACACCCTGTCTTTGCTTCCATGAAAATAATTTTATATCACTCTAATAAAAAGATCGTTTTTAAGAGAGTAAATATCATTTGTTTATTGGAAGCAAATACCCTGCTGTGACCTCTAAGCTAACACAGTCATTAGCTGTTGACTGTGTGTTTCTAAGCAGTTCTTCCCATGGTGGACACTGTGCTGGATCCTGAATGGAGTAAGCAAAGAAACAAAGAGAATGACTACTCAGAGATGCCATCATGGCACACATGTTTTTTTCTTCTCCAGAGAAGCCCCGAGAAGCTTGCTTTGATCCTGGGAACATAATGAATGGGACGAGAATTGGAACTGACTTCAAGTTGGGCTCCACAGTTACCTATCAGTGTGACTCTGGCTACAAGATTGTGGACCCCTCATCCATTGAGTGTGTGACTGGAGCCGATGGGAAGCCCTCTTGGGACCGGGCGCTGCCTACCTGTCAAGGTGCATATGACTCAGCTTCACTCCTTCCTTCTTTGTAGTATTTTACTTGAAATACAGTCTAACAATCCAGGCTATAATCCCCAGCCAAAGTGGGGGCCACTCACTCAGGAAGTTACTGCTGAGTCCCTAGGACAGCCCTTAGTCACTTAGCTGTTCTCACTGTCAATGAACAAGGTGATGTTTTTATTTTACTCAGGTGACTTGAAATGTTTGTGTCTGTTTTGTTTACTTTTCTATTCAATCCAAAGGAAGTACATGGTAACATTCTCCAGAAACTTCTCAATAAGAAGATGAATACATATGGCAGATAAAATAAATGATAAGAAGGCAGATCAATAGATAGATACATAGATAGATAGATAGATAGAAGGATAGATAGATAGATAGAAGATAGATAGATAGATAGATAGATAGATAGATAGATAGATAGATAGATA